GTTGACCAATTACTGTTCAGATGAACACAGCATAAGCAGTTGTAGAATGTTGTTTTAACAAAGATATAAAACCATAATAAAAATTAACCACAGATTCGCATTCTGGTAAAAAACCTTTACGTCTTAAATCCGGCTTTAAAAACTTGTTTGCCTTATATTTAGATCTCAATCAATAAAAAACCTAAAAAACATTTAAATTAAGTAAAAAGTAAATCCCCAAAATCGTCCTGCGTACGAAGTCACCTTCACTATCAATTACGATTTTTTTTTGTAAAATTAATTCCCAATTATTTTTTATTTAGTTGAACCGGAAAGTTTTTAAATTAAAAATACTTAACTAACAAAAACAAACCAACGTAAAACTAAAAATTGATTACAGTGGGCAAAACAAAAAATAATATTTAATAATTTTAGCCATTTGGGATATTTTAATGTTGGATAAAAGCTGCAGCATGATTTTATGCCTTTTAAATTGTTTATTACTTTAAATATGTTTTTTAGATTTGTATTTTAAAATTTGTTTGTCCCTAGTTTCGTTTACGTTGCTAAAAATAATGGTAAATTTACTAAATGTTTACCATTAAAAAAATTACCTATATACTAAAATTACAAATCTTTTGTGTTTAATTAAATGAGTGTCATGCTATATTTTTTCTACCAATACTTATTTTTAAAGAAAAATGATAATAAATAATAGAGTAACCATTCTAACTTCAAGTTAGTATTTTAACGATTGTATGACATTTGACAACTGTCAACTAACTTCAGCCCGTGACTAAAAACTTGTTGCCAACTTAAACCCGTGACTAAAACGCCATGAAACGGGGTTTTAAAGGTGGGAGTAGAAAAAATAATTAACAAAGATTTAAACATGGGTTTTGAATTTTTAAAATTTAAACTTGTTGGTCGCATAAACATCGCATGTTAAAAATAAATTGGATAGTAATCGTCTTTAAATTTAAGTACAGGTTTAAATTGTATTTCCTGAAATAATACGCAATTGACTATAAAACTACTAGTCGTTTTGTTTAATTAAAATATACTTTATGCAAAAAACAACATGCTACCTTAATTTTAAGATATACAATTTTTATAATTAAGTTGTAATTTTTAAGGGGTCATTTCATATGGCTTTTTCATACAATCGATAAAATTACGGTAAACGTGTTAAATCAAGATATGGTTTAATAAATTGGCCACCTCGATATTGTGACTTAACGCCTTTAGACCTTTTCTTTTTGGAGTTTCTCACTTCATTGGTGTTTGCCAATCACCTCAGAAATAATGATAAAACAAAATATATTTTGTCTACTCTCACCTTTAAAACGCCCTTTATCGTACATGTTTCCATGACACTAAGTGACCTTTTAAATACACATTGACAAGTTGTGGCTTTATGGCGCTTTAGTCACGGGCTGAAGTTAGCAACAGGTTTTTAGTCACGGGCTGAAGTTAGTTTTAATTTAGTTGACAGTTTTCAAATGTCATACAATCGTTAAAATAAAGTGCCTTTCTTGTAAAATAATACTAAATGTGAAAATTATTTTACTATCTCAATACAAAAATTCAAAAAGATTAAATAGTTTCTCAACGCCAATATTTGAAAAGTTTATATGATCATTGTACTGACCTTTTAATTTCGCCGGCAGTAAACTATAACTTAAATTTGGGCACGGACTCCACTGTAAAGTGCTCATAAAATATTTTCTTTACTTTCACTGTGAAAAACTGTCAATTTTTAAGAAATACATGTCGGTTTATAACCTTTATAATTGTGTTTATAAAATGTAAAAATTTGACATTTGACGGTGACACACAGATTCCCCTATTGTTTCATAGATGGCGCTCTATACAAATTTTTGATTTAAATCATTTTAAGATAATAATAAGGATTTGTCGTAGAAAAAGTATAGTATGCACCTCGTTTATAAACTTTTCTATACACTCATTAATTTAAGCTAGATCGTGCCTAAATTAAATTCGTGTAAAAAATGGCGTTTATCAAACTTGATAATATACTATTTTTGCATGCATTATAACATAAATACCTACGTAGGTAAAGTTAATATAAAACATCGTGGATTTAAACATAAGTAGTTAAATTAGAAAAACACACTCATTACCGGACCTTGATACATATTATATTACAAAGTCTCTTATTACTTGTCAAAGGCAAAAAATATATCAACAATTGCTTTAGCTTGTCCCAAAGCGAATCAACAAATAAAACATTTCCGTGTTAATTTAATGAAAAATTAAAATTTTTACTGAATTTTTATACAACATAAACACCCTGTATGAGATGAATCACTAATAAATGTATAAACCCGATTTCTATCTTTTAAAGTGAGAGTATAGACAAGAAAGCGTCTTAACAACACAATAAATATAAAAAAAATTATTTCATCCAACCGTATTATGAAATTTCTCATTAAACAAAAAATAATTAGTGAACAATTAAATGAACGTAAAAACAGTAAAGTACCCTTATATAACTATTTTTTTCCGCTGGTTATAATAAAATCAAAAAATTTAAATATTTTTTCCATTGTTAAAATAAAATTATACAGGCAATTTAGTATTTTAATTTTACAATGAAGTGCTCAGTACTTACACGTTTTTTATTCAATTTTATTGACGTCACTATGAACTCTATGTAGACTCTCAAATCAAGAGATTATTTTTTTACAAATTTGAGGGTTGGGACACTTTTGATGCGTCTTATACCTGTGTAAATTAACATCTAACTACTTGGCATTATTTTAAATTAAGGCTAATTGTATGTAAATGCTCGCCAGTTTATTGCCTTTTTGAGGTCAAAGTTAAAAAAATTAACGTTACCTAATTTGTCAAATTTTATTTCCCATAATAAACATAACATATCTTTAGGACTGCTATAGCAAAGCTGTGTTGTTATTGACGGTTGTATATAATTTGAAACTACTTGTAGATTTTAGTACCAAACGTGGAAATATGCCAAATATGCAGTTTATTAGCAAGTGTGTAAAACTGCCATAAATACCGAAATACGAAACATATTTTATTAGTAATGGTATTACAGTCTGTATTATTATTAGGTAACCTGAAACACAACACGCGATTTAGCTGTGCCATTGAAACTTTACGAACAAAATTTGTCGGGTAAGATTTTTCCGTGAAATGATGTGCAGTAAGTATAAAACTTGTGGTGCAATAAAACATAAAAAATTATGGAAAACCTTTCCGAAAAGTAAACAATAATTTATAAAAAATTCTACAAAAAAAACACAGAAATTCCCTGATATACTAAAATCTGAAAAATGTTCTATATAAATACAGGACTAATACAGTTAATTTTTTTTTATCTGGACTCGTGTTTTTTTGTTAGGTTGTTGGCTTATGCCAGTTTGACTTAGAATTTTTAGTATTTAAAAATGGTACTTCTGCTAAATAATTTAATTAAATACTTTGACACTATCAAATTGACAATAATATTTATTATTTATAATTTACTTGTCAATTATAAATAAAAAGATAATTATGCCAAAAATAATAGCAACGAATTCGAATGTAAAAGCCCTTTTGAGGGCAAAACTTCATTTTGAAGAAATTATGCCAAATGCCACAATGGAAGAAAAACTACATCGCCTTATGGACATTTTTGGAGTAAAAAAGTAACGAATTTGGTTTTATAAGTATTACATCACACATTATTTTCACATTGGACAACATTTACGTTCGCAAAAAATTTTAATTTCTTTTTATAAATTCTTTTCAAATCGAAGATTATTATCCGCTAGGAATACTTTCTCTTCTGGGCCGTAAAGCAACCTATATTTAACTACTTTTTTATATGATTTTACTCATCCAAGCACCACCAAAGCGAAATTAATTGAATTTTTAACTACGAATTTCGACAACTCAACTTGACAACTGCACAATGTAACCTACAATAATTTATACATAACCACAATTAGATTTATAACTAGTTTAGTTTGTTTTAATCAATGCGACCAATTGACAACTGTATTTACCAACCAAAACCCTAAATTTGCAACGTTGCCGCAGTCCAAATAAAAAAAATTAACTTTAGTTAAAAATGCAATTAATTTGGCTTTGGTGGTGCGTATATGAGTAAAATCATATAAAAAGTAGTTAAATATAGGCGACTACGGCCCAGGAGAGAAAAAGTATTCCTGGCGGATAATAATCTTCGCTTTGAAAAGAATTTATATAAAAGAAATTAAAATGTTGTCCAATCATTGGACTCCAATGGTCAATGGGTATTTTGTTAAAGCCACTGAACGTTAATACTTGTAATGGCTTAATAATAATTATAACGTAAATATTGTCCAGGACTATTAATGATCAGCAAATTGAAAGAAGAAAAAGTTTCGTGATTATTGCTTATCTTTTTTAAACCAAATGGATGCTATTTTCAAAGACAGGAAAATTAACTACTAGATTTTTCACAAAAAGGTTGAATCTAACAGCAAATAATTTGAGGCATTTGGCATAATTTAATCGAAATGAAGGTTTGCCCTTAAAAGTTCTTTTACTTTAGAATCTCATATTATTTTTGTCATAGTCCCATTCCTACTTATTTTATTATTTACGATATGTTTTTCTCATAATGTTATCAATATTAAAATAATAATTAGGTACTTATATATTTTTTCTAATGATTCTGAAATTTAAACTTAATCACTATAAATAACAACAAAACAACTTTTACAGTACTACTAGTGGTAACAAATAAACTGATTTATAAATACGAACTCGATTCAAAATTAAAACTTACTACAGCCGATATGACAAAATTATTAGCGTTTATTAAAAATTTCATTGGAAAACATTTTTTCCATTAAATTATATTACTTACCGCAACAAAACAAATATTATTACGTTTCTCTTAAAAATGACCACAAATATTTGTTGCGCTGGACTGAACAACCAGTTTAAAGAATTTCACACATATAACACCACTTTCTTAAACTTTACTAAAACAAAAATATTCTTACCTTAATATCGTTGAAAAGCCTGGGTAATCCTTAAAAAATCCACAAGTTCGACGGAAAACTCATCTTAGACGACAGTTTGCGTTAAAATCAACATAGCACTGGTCAAGCGCGTACGGCGACTGGATGCGAAGAGTCGGTTGCAAGAACGCGAGAAACAGTTGAAGAAAGTAGGTAAGCGACCACCTGTGACCGCTTGGAGGCGACTGAAGTCTGATGACCGGCACACGCGTTGCGCCAAACGGCGGTTCGATGCCTGCGCAAGGAATTTTATTTGCTCCCGTGTTATTAGCGAATTATGATGGTCGGGAAGGAAATTTTAATAAAGTGCGGGATTGATGACGGGCTTACTTAAAAGCATAAAAGTTTTGTTGATGGAGATTGGATTTAAATTAATGCTTTTTATCAAGGTTAAAATGTGGTGGTTTTGCTAAAGTAATGATTACACAGTACAACACGATTTTCCTCCCATAAAAATTTTTAACAGATTTTAAAAATAAAGGTTAAAAACGTACCCGTCTCACCGTTTTACAAAATCACGTCATTTATTTTTTTTACACAGCCATTCTTATTATTTTAACCTAAACTGTTTTTTAATTCTCTATTTTGTTATAAATCATTTTTTTTCTTCAAATATTTTATGTTTTTACATAATACAAAAATTATACTTAAAGAAAATAACAATTTTATTTTTTTTTAAGTAAAAAAAATATTTCTGGTTTTAATTTTTGATTTTTTTTAATAACAGATTTCTATTTATCTTATATTAAATATATGTTGGAAACAAATCTTGATCTTTTAGTTTTACGATTATATATTGCTTTCGAATCTAGGTATAGTGGTATCACAACCTAAAAACACCACTAAGTGGTGTTTTTAGGTTGTCTTGACCGGAAGTGACATCAACTTTGTTATTTCAAATAGAACACCCCATATATTTTTACATTTTTAAATTCTACATAAAATTCTAAGTAAAATTACTATACCATGTCCTATACCTAAAGTGAATAGTTTTCTAGATATTTGCTATTAGGTTTACGGATATGGGGGTAAAATGTTTGGAATCTTAAAACATTGTTTAAAAAATTCCATGTCAATTCTTTACCATTTTTCGACAGATTACCCGAGAAACCCCAGGGCAAATTGGGCTAACTTGAAACGTTAATAACTTTTTATTTCTAATGTAACACCCGGTATGTTAAGAAATTGACATGGAATCTTTTAAACAATGTTTTAAGATTCCAAAAATTCCACCCCCATTTCTGCAAACCTAATAGCAATAAAGTTGTAGGCTATTTTTGATTGACGCGCATTTGTCATATTTTAACGGAAAAAAATAATAACTCGAAAACTATTTACTTTAGGTATAGGACATTGTACAGTAATTTTACTCAAAATTTTATGTAGAATTTAAAAATGTAAAAATATATGGGGTGTTCCATTTAAAATATCAAAGTTGATAACAAATTTTGTTTAAAATATTTTAGAAAAATAGGCTTAATTGGATTATAAACGCTTTAAAAATTTCAAATCGATATCTTTTGCCGTTCCTCAGAAACTCTCAATGGCCCACGAACGTGAAACACCCGTATTTCGTAAATGTGCAACACCCTGTATATAATTAAAATAGGTTTAAAATAAATAAATAATTTTAATGGTTGTCCGTTTAATCAGTGAATAATTTTTTCATAAAAATATACAGTCTAGCTATTATCGAATCTGTTATATTATGTGCCGAATACCATGGATAACATTTTATTGGATCCCACTTAAAAAAAATGACGTGATCTGAAAAAACGCCGAGACACGGGTATCATTTTTTGAAGTCTATTTTGAAAATCTATAGAAATTTTTCATGGGAGGGAAAAAAATCAAATTTTGTCGTACTGTGTTATCGAAACCACATTTTAACCTTGATAAAAAGCATTAATTTAAATCCAAATGATAAATTTTGACGAAATTAGGATTTTAACTATGTATAAGTCTTAATGGTTGGCGAATAGCTTAATTATTATTTCCATCAACCTTAACGAGCGAGCTTGCGAACTGTAAAATATTTAACAGGAAATATGCCAAAAATAATCCCGGCGCATTCGCCATTTTTTCAACAACAAAAATAGATGTTAAAATATTATCTCCTCCTTAAAGGAGCTAAATTGAGTAGTAAGCAACTTTACCATTGAACCATTGAAAGGTTTATATTTGATAAATTGGTTCATTTTTACAATAAAAAACTACAAACAAGTCAAAATCTAACTGTATGATAAGAAATTACATGCGTTTTGAAAAATTCTGTATATAAAAATAATTCTTAAAAAAGATAAAGACTGTCAAAAACATCTGTACTGTCATGAAAATTTTTATAATGGTTTAGAAAAAACCTTTTTTTAGACACAATAAAACTCGATTTTTAGTTGTATTACTTTTTATTACGATTTATAATTTGTACAATAATATTTACAACTTTATATACATTAATAATTATTAACAATATTATATTTTAGGCACTGAAATTTTCTAAATGGAAGATACAAACATGTGACTAGTAATATAATGATAATAATAGTAGTAAAATTAACTAAATAAAAAAGTAAAAATAATAAATATGAAATTAATGCAATAAATACAGAATAAATGATATAACAGGTTAAAAAGCGGAAAATTTTAATTGAAATTAATTAGGAATTTTAAAAATATTAAAGCCAATTTATTTTAATACTTGTCTGTTCAAAAAATCGAATCAATTAATTAATATTTAAAAAAGAACTTAAACAAAAATCAAGTTTCCTGTAAATTGATTATATAATTTTATTAAATATGATTAAAAAGATAATGAATTACTTAAATCTAGAATAAGGCGAAATATTTTATTTATAATAAAAAATAAATAAATAAAAAGACCTTAACACATAATATTAATAATTACAGAATTTTGAATATTGCAGTAGTATTTTCCATTATTGCTTAAAATAAGTACAAATTTACAGAATTTATCATATACAGGGTGACTCACTCTGTTGTTAAAAAACAATAAAGAAATTATTTCGTAAAAGGTGAAACAGTCTTTCCTTTACCAATATATCTTACATACCAAAATCGAAAATATATACCGGGCGTTTATATTCAAAATTCAAAAAATATTTTTGAATACTTCAACAAAGTTATACATGATATCGTATTAATATTAAACCACAGCCTATAAGACTAAATGTATCTTACTGAAGTTATCTTTTAATAATTTATTATTCACAAGAACACGAACAATCTGTTTTTTTTTAATTTATAGAAATAAAAATTCTAAAGAAAGAATAAACCAATCAAAAGAATGCCGTGTTCTGATTGGTTTATTGTTTTCTATAGAGATCATTTTCTATAGAAAGTAATCATAATAAAATAATTTTTAAATTTCGTAAAAAAGAATGCATCTTTATTTATTATTACATAATATTTTAACAGATCGTGTTTCGTGTTTTCTTATGTTATTTGTACGCGTAGTTTTACGCTATTTTTAGTGCAACTAGTCAAAAAAAATTGTAAGTTTTGAACAACCTATTTATTTTGATTATTGCGTTAACTACGAAAACCATAGTAGAAAAATACTATTTTTTTTTATTAAAAGCTCAAAAAATTACCCTAGATAATTTGTTTAAAAAATGGCAAAAACAATCCTTGCTTTCTATACTTAACAATATTCATTGATATGTCATTGTAAAACTATTTTTTTTACTATAGAGTGTTAAAAATTATACCAGTTTTTTTAATAACTTGAATTGTAATATTTTACTTTTAATCATCAAAAAATTAAAAATAAACATTTTTGTTTTAAAAATTGCAAAAATAAATAAAACGAAAAATGTATTTTTTATGTTTAAAAGTAATACGCAAAAACATATGCCAATGAATTAATTGCACTTTTTTGAGCAAAAACACAACGAAAAAAATTTCTCTAAAGACTATGAAACCGGATGCTAGCAAGCGGAAGTCGGGTTCCAAGGTCTTTGTTGAAGGGTGGGAGGTTGTGGGGCTTGCTGTTTACTTGCTAAAATACAAAAAAATGTTTTATAAATAAGTTGTATCTAATAATTTGTCAAAATAAATAATAAAGCCAAAAATCGCACTTACCTCAAACAGGAACAAAAACATTAAGTTCCCATTCACAAATACATACATACATAAAAAAATGCATGCAAAATTAAAGAATTAAAAGTTTGTCATGCATTTTTAAAACCAAGGTAAAATACATAATATATAATATACAACTAATACTAAATTTACATTAATTTATTATTATTATTATTATTTAACAATAAATAATGGTCTATATATTCATAATTATTATACTAGTTAATTAGTTACAGCAAGCTAAAAAAAATGTTTAAAACAAATCGGTTAAAATTGTTGAAAAAATTAGCACCATTGACTAGAATAAACTAATTATTTTATTTTGACACGGTTTCTTTTTCAACAATCCCTTAAAATAATATGTATATGCATGATTTGTTTTAAACATTATTATTTAAATTTTAATATACAATATTTACATAAATTAATAAAATAGAATATTTCGTATAGAAATAATAAAATAAAATAATGGACCAATGGCGATGCACAAAGCATAGTCGAGATTTGTTGGCCCAATAAAATATATAACATCTGGCAACACTGAATTTTTGTTTTAGATCGTTAAATACAAGAATCCAAAATTTCCCGATTTTATATTTGTAAAACAGTATAATAGCCATTTTTTTCTTACAATTTGAAAACAGAATAAAATTCTCCGTTATTTTTGGAGCTACAAAGTAGATTAAATTAGCATTTTTCTTTTGATAAAACGGTGAAAATAGTTTTCGAAATATTTACAAAAATAACATTTTTAAATGGGACACCGTCTATATTTTTACATATTTTAAAAGGAACGAAAATTATTATTGAATAAATACCCTTAACTACAAAATAAATAATTAATAAGCACTTATTGTTGTTAAAATAAAGTAAAAATTTGGTTATTCTAACAACTTTTAAAAAGTTCAAGTGTTTAAGTTTAGGGTAGTTATGAAATAAAAATTTTTGGTTACAAATTGAATTGTAAATATATACAGGGTGTCCCATTTAAAAAAAAATGATATTTTGAATATTTCGGAAACCCAAAACCTACTTTGTAGCTCCAATTAGGGTAAAAATAATTCAGATACTTAAAATGTAACCTAGTCATTTAACAGTAAATTATTAATGGTCAAATGTTAATCAAACTAAAAATTATATAATAGTTTTGGATTTTTAAAGAATTGTTTATTAAACGTTTTTGTGAGAAACACTTTTTAGTTAAATGCAAAACAAATAATGATTATAACCAAATTAATAATTTACTGTTAAAAGTAACTAGGTTACAGTAACTGTTGTGACTTTTACATCTCAAAATACAAGAATTTGTCTTAAACGTTGGGATATAATAATTATTTATTCTTTATCTTAATGGTCTTAAACCTTTGATATAGAATAACAGTAATTAATAAATTATTAAGAAGTACAGCATAGCAAATGCAAAACGTAAATTATGCTTGAAGCAGCTGCAAAATATGCCCCCTTTTTTTTACTTTTCGAGTGAAAATATATGTTCTATAAACGTATATGCTTGCAAAAATTTTAATGTGAGAAGTAGCTGCCCTTATTTTTTTTTTAAACTTAACCCAATTTTTAAGATGGATCAGATAATTAAAAGGGAAAAGATCAATTGAAGTTTTTCATCCCGAATTACAGTATTGCCCAATGTTACAATAATTTTCTAGCTCACCATGATTGCTTTGCACATACAGCCATAAACAAAATAATTCCATCAAATAAAATTAGCACTTTGTGAAAATGGATTGTTGACTAACATCAAAGTAAATTATTAATTTTTAATAAAAATTAAATATCATTTAAACAGTTAAATGTACAATGTCTACATAAATAAATAAAACAAGGGCAATAAAAAATATTAACCTTTTTTTAATTAAAAATGATTTTATAAATATTAAGTAAAATGTTTTATTAATTAATTAAATAAAACATAAAAAGTCATGTCAACAATACAAATATGGAGTTGGTTATTAATGAAGTTGAAGAAATATACAGGGTGTATCGACTAAACAAGACAAAATTTTGACACACCTTGTAAAAATTTCATGCAAATTTTTTTAATTTTTTTTATTGAAGCATGCAGGGCACCAATGCTTTAGCAGCGGCTTTCTAGAAATAAAAAATAAACAAAACATGTTAGAAAAAAGTCTTGCCAAAAAAACAACAGACAACAGAGTTTTAAGAAAAAATCCTTTGCTACGCAATAATTTAGGACCCTTACTTAAAAACTTTGTTGATGTAATCATGCACCACACTAAACAAAAATATCACATATAAATGTAGAAGAAAAGCATAGAAACATTTGTAATTTCAACAAATTTATCAAGATTTTAATGAAATGTTCATTAAAAAATCGCATTTTTATCAGCGAAAATCGAATTTACAAAAAAGTCTGTAACATCAACAAATTTTATCGGGGTTAATCTCACGAAATGTCCCCCGATGGTGTTACTCCTTGATATTTAATAAAACTAAATGAATTTGACCTACACTTTCATTGTGTTTTGATCTTTTATAATTAAGTAGATAGTACAGCTTAGGTTCCAGATTTTTAACCGCAATTAATTATTTTTTACAATGTTTTAAACGTCTAAAACCTATCCTCCGTGACTGTAACTCTGTCTAGGTTAACCTATATGTTTTCAAATATCTGAGGTAGTAAAAGCTTACAAAAAATATCAAGTCACTTAGTAAATTAAACACATCCAAAGCAATCGAATCAAATATAAAATATTATTTAAAATTAAAAGAAATAATTTTTATAACCATTTATGTAGGTGTTACAAAAATTGATTCTATCCTCCGTGAATCTGTTTTTGCTTTACATTTTATTCAACGGATGGCGCTTTAATCATTTTAAATAAGCAAAAACCTCTGTTTACGACAGTATAGATGCATGTGATTCCTGAAGGTCAGTTAGAATTTATATGCAGATGAGAGTGTTGCTGTTTTATAATTCACAAGTTTAACTTCATTAATTTGCTATTTAAAAACCTACCCACCGTGAAGTGTAATATCTCAGTAAAAAATATTAAGGTGTCAAAAGATACTATAACTTATTTCAAATATACAAAGGGATATTTAAAAAAACATACGAAATCCTAACCTCCGTGAAGCTATCTCCCGTGAAGCTCTAATATTCAAAATGTATGATTTCTTAAACAGTGAAACAACCAAATATAAAAAATAATCATTTTCACTTGGGGGACATCTCAATATATTCACTGGACTGGGCCAAAAAAATTGACTATTTTTTTTTTGAAAAATATATCGAGAATGTCATTCAGAATGACAAAAAAAACTTTGGTGGAAATTTGAGCCCTTAATATTAATTTTAAGAGTTCTATCATCGCTATTTTTGATTTTTAGTCATAATTTGATGTTTTACGTTAGAACTGTCAAAACATTGAAGTGCAAAAAATTTCTTTTCACTTATTTTGATATAAAATTAAATTCTCTACAAAAAAGGTCTGGTTGAAAATTTTTGTCAGACGAGCCGTTTTCGAGTTTAATAAATCGATGTGTTTTTTCGATTTACCCTTTTAACTTTGAAATTTTGTAACTAATGAACCAATAAATATTTAAGAAAGCTCACGTCGGATTTTTAAAGGAAATTTCATGTTCTACAAAAAAGGTTTCTTAACATTTTTGCCTAAATTTAATTCTTCAAAAGTTATTCACGATTAAAATCGAAGAAAACTTAAAATTTCAATTTTTTCTTCGTGAATAACTTTTGAAGAATTAAATTTAGGCAAAAATGTTAAGAGACCTTTTTTGTAGAACATTAAATTTCCTTTAAGAATCCGACGTGAACTTTTTTAAATATTCATTGATTCATTAGTTACAAAATTTCAAAGTAAAAAGGGCAAATCGAAAAAACACATCGATTTATTAAGCTCAATTACTTTTTTGTAGAGAATTTAATTTTATATAAAAATAAGTGAAAAGGAATTTTTTTCACTTTTTTTCACTTCAATGTTTTGACTCTTAAAATTAATATTAAGGGCTCAAATTTTCACCAAAATTTTTTTTGTCATTCTGAATGACATTCTCAATATTTTTCAAAAAAAAAAATAGTCAATTTTTTGGCCCAGTCAACCCATCAACTTTTGATTAAAATTTCGCAAATTAAAAAAACAGATTAATTTAAAAAAAGATAACACAACAAGTTAATAAATGTTTAATAATAAAAAACTATATACATACGCATACTCTATGTTATTAGTGTTGATATTAGTAGTAGAATTCGATCGATTCGAATAGGGAATCGTTCGAGGAAAAGTTCGGCTTAATGTACTGACCTTGCTTGTTGGAGTAGACTTTGAGCACGTTGCGGAAGGTGGGCGGGCGGGGGAACTGGTCGGCGGCGGTGAACATGTAGCGGAACTTTTCTTCCACGTCCAAGCCGGCGCGCTGCATGCTGGAGAGCCGCGGGGGCGGCGGGGGGGCGCTCTGGGTGGGCACCTACAAAATAATAATACAAAAAATTTTATTACCATAAAAATCCCACTTCTGAATATAGGTCTCTATTCATTTATTCGAAAAGAACGATTTAGTAAACTTAAATATGATGTCAAGGTAAAAGTTGTAAAATCAAAAATACAGGGTGTTTCACAGCATGTAAAAATCAAAAAGACAAACAAATATTTCAAGTAACTATTTTATCAAAACTCAAAAATGAGAGAAAGAGCCTTTCAAGGTTTTATTAAATTTGTAAAAGATTGTTCAAATTTTAATGTTCAGGTGCTGTTCTAGCGATTTTGTTTTTTATAATATTAATAGCTTTAAAAAGCTGTACATACTCTGTAACATAGATTGCCAGCAGTAAAACTTTTTTTATTTAAAATAATTTTTTGTTTGAATAGTTTTGTCAATTTGTCTATGTATTAATTAAACTCTTAATGACTCATTAATGAATAACAAGTATAAATAACAAATTACATTAATTTAAATCTTGTGTTAACTCGTTTATATACAACGTGTCCAGAAAATGGCACACAAACATTTAAGTACAAATAGTTTGAAGGGTAAAATTGGATTCTATTTATATTTGTTTTTTAATACATTTATTTTTTTAATCTGTAAAATTCGTATAAAATATATATGGTATGACAAAAACAGAAAATTCTATTCATTAATATAAAACGTTTTTAAGTTTTTAACGGCATTTTTGTTTAATTTTAAAAAATCCAGAAATCCTTGCAAAATTTAAAAAATTAATTTTAATTATGATTTATAATTTTCAAATATTATAAAAATGTTTTTACGTAATTTTTATTTAAATTGAAAGTTCTAAAAAACAAAATCTTGTAAAATCTTAAAAAAGTAATCTTAAGCGTTTTTTACATTAAATTATAGTTTTTTGATTTTGCACGTTTTATGATTTTTATACACATTTTTTAAAATGCCTTTAAATTTTATATTAAAAAAAATACAAAATGAAAGACATCTTTAAAAAATCCTCTTATTTTCACACATTTGATTTTTTTAGTTCTTAAAAACACAGAAAACCTTGCACAATCTAAAAAAAGTTTTAACGTAATTTTTATTTAAATTGGAAGTTCTAAAAAAACAGAAAATCATGTAAAATCTTAAAAAAGTAATCTTAAGAGTTTTTTACATTAAATTATAGTTTTTTTTGATTTTGCACCTTTTATGATTTTTATGCACATTTTTTAAAATGCCTTTAAATTGTGCATTAAAAAAAATACAAAATGAAAGACATCTTTAAAAAATCCTCTTATTTTTGCACATTTGATTTTTTTAGTTCTTAAAAACACAGAAAACCTTGAATAATCTAAAAAAAAACAAATGGGACTTACCGCGGGTAAAATACATTGCAAAATTTAAAAAAGAAATCTTAATTATGATTTATAATTTTCAAATATCATAAAAAAGTTTTAAAGTAATTTTTATTTAAATTGCAAACTCTAAAAAAACAGAAAATCTTGTAAAATCTTAAAAAAAGTAATCTTAAGAGTTTTTTACATTAAATTATAGTTTTTTTTGATTTTGCACTTTTTATGATTTTTATGCACATTTTTTAAAATGCCTTTCAATTTTGCATTAAAAAAGATACAAAATGAAAGACATCTTTAAAAAATCGTCCTATTTTTGCCCATTTGATTTTTTTAGTCCTAAGAAACACAGAAAACCTTGCATAATCTAAAAAAACAAAAAAAACCTAACAGTAATGGGACCTACCGCAGGTACTACACATTGCAAAATTTAAAAAAGTTATCTCAACTATGATTTATAATTTTTAAATATCATAAAAAAGTTTTAACTTAACTTTTATTTAAATTGAAAGTTCTAAAAAAACGGAAAATCTTGTAAAATCTTAAAAAGGTAATCTTAAGCGTTTTTTACATTAAATTATAGTTTTTTAGATTTTGCACGTTTTATGATTTTTATGCACATTTTTTAAAATGCCTTTAAATTTTGCATTTAAAAAAATACAAAATGAAAGACATCTTTAAAAAATCCTCTTATTTTTGCACATTTGATTTTTTTAGTTCTTAAAAACACAGAAAATCTTGCATATTCTAAAAAAAAATCAAAAAATAACATAACAGTAATGGGACTTACCGCAGGTAAAATACATTGCAAAATTTAAAACAGTAATCTCAATTATGATTTATAATTTTCAAATATCATAAAAAAGTTTTAACGTAATTTTTATTTAAATTGAAAGTTCTAAAAAAACAGAAAATCTTGTAAAATCTTAAAAAAGTAATCTTAAGCGTTTTTTACATTAAATTAAAGTTTTTTGATTTTGCACGTTTTATGATTTTTATGCACACTTTTTAAAATGCCTTTAAATTTTGCATTAAAAAAAATACAAAATAAAAGATATCTTTAAAAAATCGTCCTATTTTTGCCCATTTGATTTTTTTAGTTCTAAAAAACGCAGAAAACCTTGCATAATCTAAAAAAACAAAAAATAACCTAACAGTAATGGGGCCTACCAAATTTACAAATATCATAAAAAAGTTTTAACGTAATTTTTATTTAAATTGAAAGTTCTAAAAAAACAGAAAATCTTGTTAAATCTTAAAAAAGTAATCTTAAGCGTTTTTTACATTAAATTATAGTTTTTTGATTTTGCACGTTTTATGATTTTTATGCACATTTTTTAAAATGCCTTTAAATTTTGCATTAAAAAAATACAAAATGAAAGACATCTTTAAAAAATCGTCCTATTTTTGCCCATTTAATTTTTTTTAGTTCTAAAAAACACAGAAAACCTTGCATAATATAAAATAAAAACCTTGCAAAATTTAAAAAAGTAATCTCAATTATGATTTAAAATTTTCAAATATCATAAAAAAGTTTTAACGTTATTTTTATTTAAATTGAAAGTTCTAAAAAAACAGAAAATCTTGTAAAATCTTAAAAAAGTAATCCTAAGCGTTTTTTACATTAAATTATAGTTTTTTTTGATTTTGCACGTTTTATGATTTGTATGCACATTTTTTAAAATACCTTTAAATTTTGTATCAAAAAAAATACAAAATGAAAGACATCTTTAAAAAATCGTCCTATTTTTACCCATTTGATTTTTTTAGTTCTAAGAAACACAGAAAACCTTGCATAATCTAAAAAAACAAAAATAACCTAACAGTAATGGGACCTACAGCAGGTACTACACATTGCAAAATTTAAAAAAGTTATCTTAATAATTAAGAAAATTATAAATCATAATTATTATGATTTATAATTTTCAAATATCATAAAAAAGTTTTAACCTAATTTTTATTTAAATTGAAAGTTCTAAAAAAACAGAAAATCTTAAAAATGTTATCTTAAGCGTTTTTTACATTAAATTATAGTTTTTTGATTTTGCACGTTTTATGATTTTTATGCACATTTTTTAAAATTTTGTATTAAAAAAAAATGAAAGGCATCTTTAAAAAATCGTCCTATTTTTGCATATTTGATTTTTTTATTTCTAAAAACCTAAAAAAAATCTAAAAGTAATGGGACTTACCGCTGGCGGCGCCCTGCCCTGCGTCCTGTGCGGCGGCGGCGCCGGCGGCGCGTGGTTCGGCACTTGCGGCAGCTGCGTGGGCGGCGGAGGCGGCGCGTGATTCGGCGGCTTCACCATGCTCTTGGGCGGCGCCGGATAGCCGCCCCCGCTGCCGCCGTGCCCCCCGAAGTGCCCCGGCGAGTGCCCGCCGCCGAGGCTGTGACCGTGCTGGTGCATCGGCGGTACGGAGGGGGGCGGCGCGTTCGGCCGCCGCGGTTTCTGAGCGTAACCGCCGCCGCCGCCGCCGCCGCCGCCGGTGCTGCTCAGGCTCAAGGTCGAGCCGATTTGGTGCGAGATGTCCTTGACGCTCAGAGCCTTGAAGGAGTTGGTCACTTCGGGAGATTGGGGGGACGGGGAGCGGGGGGTCTTCATGCTCTGCGCGCGGTGAACATGTTTGCCCCCGTTTATCGACAGTTTTTTCGGTTTGTTGTTAGGTAGAGTTCCTGAAAAAAATTATATATGATTTTATTTGTGTACAAAATATACATGAAACGTTTTCAAATGGTTAATATAGGAAAAATAACTAAAAAAATCAATATCAAAAAGAAAATTAAAAAAAAACAATATGTAGCAAATTTCTTATCCGTCAGACCTTTTTTGCTACACTCTCTTAAAATGAATAAGTCAAAAAAATGAATTAGTAAAAAATAACTAATATATGATAACTAATTATAAGTAATATTTGACTAATTGTCATAGCGAAAAAGAAGTCACTAATAATTAGTCAAATTCCACTGAATGAAACAGTCAAATTAGTATATTTAAATTTAAAAAAAATTCTGACCCAGCCGGGGTTTGAACTCGGGCCTGTCGGTTGTCAAGCTTGTCAAGCGTATGTCATAACCAATGAGCCATCAGTCACTTTCATAAAAATCAATTTTATTATATATATAATTTTATTATATATATATTATTATAAATATTGCTCATAATATTTTAAAGTTGATTATTTCCCTCATTTTAATATGAACCAATCAAAAGCCTTGAATTTTGGAATAAATTTCGTTTAAATAAGCGATTAAATCACTAGAACTATTACAGCGATTAAATTTTAGCCTCCATATTGGATTTTTGTTTAAGATTTTATGGTGTTATTTACAAGTTTTAACAAACATGTTTTAAAAAACAATAAAAAATAAGTTATCCAGTTTACGAAATATCAATTAATACTTATTAATGGAATTTTCTTTAAAAAAATATTTATAAATTTTGACACATACGTCAGATTTTATGAATTGTCAAATAGTTTCCTTTAATTTGAGAAATAATCTAGACGTATATCACTCAACCTATAAATTTAATCTGTCAAACTATGCTCAGTAAGTTTTTTATTTGATTTTTCTTTTTGGAAAATAGTTTCATGCAAAATAATTAAAAATAAAACCCCTCGACCGCTACGCGGTCTCGTGATTTTATTAAATTATTTTGCATTCAACATTTTCCAACAAAAACCAAACAAAAAACTACTGAGCCTAGTTTAACCGATTAAATTCATAGTTCTCGTGATATAATATATGATTATTTCCCTCATTATAATATGAACCAATCAAAAGCCTTGAATTTTCGAATAAATTTCGTTTAAATAAGCGATTAAATCACTAGAACTATTTAACAGCGATTAAATTATAGCCTCCATATTGGATTTTTGTTTACGATTTTATGGTGTTATTTACAAGTTTTAACAAACATGTTTTAAAAAACAATAAAAAATAAGTTATCTAGTTTACGAAATATCAATTATTACTTATTACATACCTTAAATTAATGGAATTTTCTTTAAAAAAATATTTATAAATTTTGACACATACGTCAGATTTTATGAATTGTCAAATAGTTTACTTTAATTCGAGAAATAATCTAGACGTATATCAACCTATAAATTTAATCTGTCAAACTATGCTCAGTCTCGTGATTTTATTAAATTATTTTGCATTCAACATTTTCCAAGAAAAACCAAACAAAAAACTACTGAGCCTAGTTTAACCGATTAAATATATGAATACATTTTTTGTGTTGCTGTTAGTTACTTTTAACTCTCAGAAATAGTCAAAAATGATGACTAATCTTAAATTAGTTAAACTTTAACTATTTAAGTAGTAAAAAATAACTATTTAAAAGCGAAAAGACTATTTTATTAGTAAAAATGCTGGTACTGGTAAATAATAGAATTTTGACTATTTCATTTTAAGAGAGTATTTCAGAAAAAAGACAATTAGGTACCAACTGTTTTTTCAACAATATTATTATTTACATAAAAGTACATACCTTACTTATATAGCAGAATACTTTTTCATTCATTAAACAATTAAATAAAAATGTTATTTAAACGCAATCTATGGTCAAATAATTTTTTTTACCACCATGCATTTGTCTACTATTTACTAAGTTCCCGGAGCGTTGTAAAATTGCTACGCGATGCATTTAAGGGTTAAAGTGGTTTTTAAAAACATAAAACTAACTAGATATTTTCTAGTTTTTTCAAACGTTTTTAACAACTGTTAAAAAATTATTTCAAAGTGTATTAATTTTATTGTGAATGGGTCTTTCCATCTCCAACCGACCGGACAACAAGGGGTTATTTTTCAACGAAATTTTTTTAACAGTTTCTACACAGAAATGGATGAGACCCGTATTTTTTCTTTTTGCTTAAATTTGTTTTGTTTACCTGTGGGAAATTTATGAAAAATTGACAAAATGCGACAACTTGGCCAAAAATGTATCGATTTTTTTTAATTGTTGGTAAATGTTTACCACATACAAAAAAAATTCAAAAAAAATGTGAACGGCCATTTCCAGCGCGCGAAACGGACGAAATACAAAATTGGTTTTTTTTAAATTGTAGATAATTTATTATAAACATTTTGGCATCAAAACAATATTCTTATTTTATCAGGCTATACATTAAATTTAAAAATAATTTTAATAATTGAAAGGTGTGGACGGGACAAAAAAAAGATTTATCTTGTCCCATCCAGGTCTGTCAATTATAAAAATTATCTCTACTTTTATAAAATATATCTTGCGTATGTTTTTATTTAATGTATAGCCTAATAAAAGAAGAATATATTTGACAATTTTAATGCAAAAATAATATTTAATAAATTACCTACAGTTTTTTTAATAAAAACAGTTTTGTGATTTAAAATGAAAAAGCCAAAATTTATTGTTAAACCAAGATAAAAACATGTATTTCCAAAATAATATTAAAAACTTCTTAAAAATTATTAAAATATTGTTTAAAGAAATTATAAAAACGTTAAAAAATAAAAAAATAAAAATTGGTGTCAAGACATTTTCTTACCGGTGTTTGCCGGAGGCTTAGGTGCCAAATTCGGTTTACCATGGTTGATCACAGGCCTCGGTTGGTGGTGATTAATCGCGCCGTTCCTGGGAGGGGTCGGGCAGTCTGTAGCGTCCCTCAAGTTGTTCAGGTTCGTGTTACTTTTGCTTTGATGCAGAGAACTGTGGTTTGCCGTCAGACCCATAAAATTCATCTGATTCGATGGCTGGTTGAAACCATTTTTCGTTAACACGTTGGGTCGAGCGTTGCCTTCTTCCGAAAACTAATGAATTAAGAGTTTTTTAGTTGTAAATGTCAATGACATATCTTGAAAATATTGACATGTCATTCGTGGACAAATGCCATGACAAAAAATTACAATTAATCTTGAATGGTAGTACAGTCATCTTAGTCAAAAAAAGGGATCAACCTCGGAATCTAACGGAATAAGCTGAATTTTTGTGAAAACCTTTATTTTAGCATTACAAATGTTGACTTAAAAGTCACATATGCCAACGTGTGAGCGACCTTAGATATTCAAGGTCAAAGGTCGCAAAAATCAGTTTTTTGATAATATCTCGTTTTGTCTGCCTCCTATCGTATTTGCGTTTATTATAAAAGTTGTAGAGAATAAAATTCTCTACAAATTTTGTTCAAAAAAAATTTTTATACGTCGAACCGTTTTTGAGATAGAGGGCGCAGAGTGTGGAGCGCTCAGCCATACGTACCTTTAGCGCAAGGTAAATCGGGAATCCCAATCTATTATACCGTTTTTTTAATTAATTATATAATAAATATTACTAAAATAAAAATTTAATACCTTATACTTATATTTATATTTCTTTTAAATCAAATATATTTTATCTTCATACCTATATATCTTATATTTTAATTTAATTTTAATGAAGGATAATTGGATCGGAGTAGAAAAAAATGTTTTTATTTATATCAATATTATTATTATTATTATTTATTTTTATCTTCTTCATCCTCGTCTTCTTCAGGTTGGCCAGCAATTTCAGACTCATTATTATCATCACTTTCCTCGTTATCATTGACATTAATTGTCATATCTTCAAAAACTTACTTATAACGCGTTTGTATTTTGCTGATTTTTTTGCCTTTGTTGCCTCATCTGCGACTTCACCACAAAATAAGCACAATATTTTAAAATCAAACACATCATTCCCTTTTTTACGAGGTACAGTTGATGACGTTGAAGGTCCAGTCTCTTCAAGGCGACGTTTTGCTGCTGCAATTTTACTATAGTACGCTATAGCGTACAATTTTCGACACTCAATATGAACGTTCACAGAAGTCAAAGTACGTATTTAGGTAGTACGTATTTAGGTAGTTTATGTTTATTTCTCTCAATAATTGCTTCTTTTAAAGTCTTTATACCGCGCACAAAAGTCACAGAATCACCTTCAGAAAGTAACTTATTACAAATAAAACACAAATAAGCCATGTTAACCTTTAAAGTATTACGAATATTACCTGTCACAACCCTAGACCTAGGTATACCTAGGGTCACCTTGCTTTAAATATAGGTATACCTAACCTTTTTATTTATAGCAAGCCCACTATAGTATTTCCAGGTCTGTTATTTTAAAAGCAATATCTGGATCCAAGAGATGACCAGAGACATATTCAAGGCAAATTCATTTAATGTCTTTTCTTCTTAAAATGCATTTATCATTAATTAGAATATTATTAGAATATATTTAGAATGATTCACTTCATTATTAAATTATTTGTATGTCAAAAGTAAGTAATATTTAATGACTATTTGTTTTAAAAAAATATATAAAAATAAATATAAGGTAATAAATTGTTATTTAAGTAATATTTAATAAATAATTAATTAAAAAAACGGTATAATAGATTGCGATTCATGATTTACCTTGTAAAGGTACGTATGGCTGAGCGCTCCACACTCTGCGCCCTCTATCTCAAAAACTATTAGACGTATAAAAAAATTTAGTAAACAAAATTTGTAGAGAATTTTATTCTCTACAACTTGTATAATAAATGCAAATATGATAGGAGGCAGAGAAAAGGAGATATTCTCAAAAAATTGATTTTTGCGACCTTTGACCTTGAATATCTAAGGCCGCTCACACGTTGGCATATGTGACTTTTGAGACAACATTTGCAATGCTAAAATAAAGGTTTGTACAAAAATTCAGCTTATTCCGTTAGATTCCGAGGTGAAATGCCTAGATGACTGGACTATGGCTATAATATGTGCTTCTTTAGTTTGGTCTATAATGTATTACTATTATTAATATATTTATAAATTTTGCTTTTTTAATTTTTGGTTTTAAAAATAAAAAAAGCGATTTTATTGGGTATACGATTTTGTGAATTTAAAAATTGCGTTTTGTTTTGCAAGTAAAAACTAAAAAAACTGGTTTAGATTTCATTTTATTATTCCTTATATAATTGATGAAGAAACTCATGTTTATGTGTTTACGTTAGTGTGTGTATTTTATTTAAGTGATCATGGTGAATTAATATATTTTTAATTGTAAATTAAATTTAAAAATTAAATTTGTTGGTAAAGAATTAACTAATGGTAACTTTACCTAATATAATTTGTATTTAAGTTTGGACATTTTTAAGAAATCTAACAAACAATTTTTTTTGCACAATCATAACCTTAAAATCAACCATTTTTGTATTTGAGTTCTCTAAAAAACGCCGACAACTGCATTTTAAACAACAAAATATACCTACGAATTCATGGCAACATAATTTTATATATACAAAATATAATACCCGTTCTTGGTATTTTACTGTTAAGTGGATATTTCTTAATCTTAAAAAATTTAAATTTTTATTATTTTTAACGGAAATTTTGGCATCAAAATAATTGTTGTTTTTTCAATCGGTCTATAATTTAAACTTTATTGTTGCCATTTTTTTTAGTTTTTAATTAAGTTAGCCCCTATAAAATCGCTAATAAAATATTATTTTTTCACAATTAAGTAAAATTTTAAGCAAATTTATTTTATTTAATACCCATTACATTGAAATAACAATAATTAACAAAATTTGATTCCATCTCTTCAAATAAAGAATTTAGAGGGATTTCCATTTATCAGGAACCAACAGTTATAGATATATATATAGATGATTTATTAGTTTTAAATGCATAAAACACAAGGTCAAAATTGGTACAACATATAAGCATTTTTTAAATAGATTCTTTAAAAAATTAAAATCAGTGATATCGAAAAAATACACAAAATCAAAGAATTCCAAAACAATAAAAAAGGCATAATCAGAAATAATAATATGGAATTTTACTTAATTTAAAAAACCTTAAAACAACTAATATAGTATATTTCATAAATACATGAATAAAAGATTATTATTAAGAAAAAACGATTTAAAATTGTCGCACAGAATAATAATAATTGCGATAATTAAGCATAAAAACATTTTATCAAGTAGTCCTATAAAAACTCAACAGGATACACACACTGACCAAGTCTGTCATTTATCTGTTGACAAAAAAACCATATAAACCAAAGAAATTAATTATGTTATCCATAAATTATTAATAATTAATAATTACCATAAATAAATAAACTTTATCAAAACTGATAAAAATTAATTGTCCGACATTTTGTAATTTATCTTTAACATGTGTCTTTTATATTTTTTTAAAAATGTGTATTTGGAAATATTTAGGGGGGTAATTTTTCCAATTTTATTTGTTTGCCCCTGCAGATTAATTAAAATTAAAATAACAAAACTTTTACAAAAGATAATATACAATAAATTTAGCAACAGAAAAATATATTGTTTATTTAGTTTTTTAAAATAGCGGAATAAAGGCCAAAACATAAAAAACTAAAAAATTAAATTCCAAAAAAGTATATCCTTTGATTATGTTTATGCTCATAAAAAAATATTCATGAGAATCATGAACTGGAAGTGTTATTCAGCTTGTACAAAAAAAAAACTTTTAAAAGGAATGAATATTTGTCAAAATTTAATTTACTAATTTTACAAATTTTATGTTTCTGGCTTAAATAATTCTAAAGTTATTTATTATACAGTAACTTCATGAAAAATGTTTTTTTATTAATTTCAAAAAACAAAATGTTCTAAAGGTTGCTCCTCACCTATAGTTATAAAATGCAAGTAAAAATTATAAATAAATTATTTTGTGGAGGCCTATTTTAGTACTGTATACAAAATTTGAGCCAAATCAGTAAGATGATGTCCAAAATTGGTCCCATTTGAAAAAAACTGACCCTATTTTATTTTAAATAAAATTTTAAGATAAACTTACATTTCTTACGGGAGCAGGCGGCGGTGGGCCTCTATTCCTATTATCATGGGTGGCTAGTGATTTTTTGATTTTGTTCTGTATATTTTCTACGTTTTTATTTTGCATTGGCGGCGACGTATTCTGTTTTTGCGCAGGTGGTGCTTGTTGCTTTGGTGCACTATTATTTTCTGATTGCGAATATCCTAGAAAGAAGTTATTAAATATTTTTTTTAATCACTGCATTATTTTTGTACTACTGCAACGCAATGATAAACATTAAGATTGTTAATTTGTAAAAACAGGATATAATATTATCTATCTTTTTGCATTGAAAAAATTGTTATTAACATGATAATAAAAACTTAACAAAGAAATGTTAAAACGTATCTCATAATATAATCCAGCAACATTCCAAAGATAAAATAATTAACCTAAAAATACGATTATCCTTTATTAATAATCTAGTTTTTAAAATTTTAAAAAGTAGTCATATACATACAGGGTAATTCTTTGAGGGAAAAATTGTCTTAAAAGTTGCACTGGTGTACAAGGTGTTACAAGTACATGAAAAAAAAATACTCAAGTATAAGTACAGTAAATCTGTAAATAGCAAAGATAGAATAAAGTTTTTATTGTCAAAATGACAAGATTAATAATAACCGGAAGTAAGTTTAGTTTTCCAAAAAGAAAGTTCAGATTTTGATGTCAACAGGATGATAGTTGTTCAAAATTCCGTGTCCGCAACTGTACTACAAAAGTACTTTAAACAAGTTAAAACCTTAATTAATTCTATACAAAAAATTTTTTCGGAGAAAAAAGTTCATTTTTTTTAACTGGACTGCGGCAACGTTGCAAATTTAGGGTTTTGGTTGGTAAATACAGTTGTCAAGTTGGTCGCATTGATTAAAACAAACTAAGCTCGTTATAAATCTAATTATGGTTATGTATAAATTATTGCAGGTTACATTGTGCAGTTGTCAAGTTGAGTTGTCGAAATTCGTAGTTAAAAATGCAATTAATTTGGCTTTGGTGGTGCTTGGATGAGTAAAATCATATAAAAAAGTAGTTAAATATAGGTTGCTTTACGGCCCAGAAGAGAAAGTGTTCCTAGCGGATAATAATCTTCGCTTTGAAAAGAATTTATATAAAAAAAATTAAAATTTTTTGTGAACGTAAATTTTGTCCAATGGTGAATAATGTGTGATGTAACATTTATAAAACCAAATTCGTTACTTTTTTACTCCAAAAATGTCCATAAGGCGATGTACTTTTTCTTCCATTGTGGCATTTGGCATAATTTCATCAAAATGAAGTTTTGCCCTCAAAAGGGCTTTTACATTCGAATTCGTTGCTAATATTTTTGGCATAATTATCTTTTTATTTATAATTGACAAGTAAATTATCAATAATAAATATTATTGTCAATTTGACAGTGTCAACCAACCTAACAAAAAACATGAGTCCAGATAAAAAAAAATTAACTGTATATACCTATTAAATTTTGAAGACATTTTGTTGAAACTCTTTAAATGGAGATAGGTAGTACCTTAAATAAAATAAATATAAAAATGCTTACCCAATTTTCCCGTGGGCCTTAGTTTGGGTATGCCATCAGCAAAAAGGCCCCCCAGTCCCATCATTCCGTTGGGTTTTGGTGAAGACATTGAATTTGAATTGTTTTTTACTCCGGGACTTTTCATTTCTGAGCTTGAGTTGTTATTGTTTATTGTTTTACCTAAAAATACATCAAATTAAGGTAGATTTTAAATGTGGTAACCCTTAAATTGTTAGGGTAGAGTATTTTGCCAATTTTTTTTTAATTTTTTCATACCAGTTATTGGAGAACTTCTGTCGTTGGTTTGGACCTTCCTGAGCTTAGCGCCCTTGTGAATGGATTTTAAAAGGGCGTCCCTTGGATCGCCGCCTCCGCCGCCCCCCTTTGGGGGGGCGCTGAATTTAGGCATGGGCGGCGGGGGGGCCGCCGGAGGGGGTGGCGGTGGGCCCGGCATTTTGACTTAGTTGATGTCAATCTAAAAAAAATAATTTTAAAATCCTTTTAAATCACAATGAACATGCTAAAAAATAAAAGAAAGTTAAAAAAAGTTAATTTTGAGAGTATTAAAAGTTCAAAGCTCACTTTTTCTCAATTTAAAACCCCATTGGTTCATTTCACAGTGAATATTAAAATCAGCCAATCACTGATGCCTAACAACGTGAATAATGAGTTCATTATTCCCGTTGTAAGACGGGGCTCTTATAATGGTTACCATTATATACGGAAAACGAAAATAATGTCAAAATTATGCAAAAAGAGCAGAAAAAATATATTTAATATTAGTTTAAATTATAGAAGATAAAAAGATATTTTTATTGAACAAACTTTATCGAATTTATTTAATTTTATCAAGTTCAGTTCAAAGAAACCCTATAAAGCATTTTATGTTTAATGTACCTAACATGTATTTAAATTATAAAATTAAATACTCAATGACGTAAAATAGGAATTTATATAATTATTGTTTAAAAGGCTTTAAAAAGCTTTCTTACTTCACACAAAATTACATTCTTTTATATAAACAATCATTGTTAAAGCAAGTTATATGACTAATTTTGTTTTTAACGTATCATAATTTTTTTGATAAAACTTTATTTTTTTAAAAAGTTGGCTTATATTTTCTACGTACGTTTTACTACTTTAATAAAATTTAATAAAACTTTAAAATTACATCAACAAATATTTAAATTTAAACACATTTAAAATTTTGAATTTTAGACTAATATTTTTTGTAATGCATACCTACATTTACTTAACTGACAAATATGAATTTAAAAAAATAAAGATAATATACCTAGGTTATATTGTAAATACATTAAACATTATCAGATAAGAAAATTTTATTTAGGCACAAAAAATAGATGTAATAATGTTGATTCACTTTAATAAATCGAATTTTACTTTATAAATATAGGTAGGTATATACTAATGGTATTAAATTTATATACCTCCCACATAGAACTTTTTTATACCATGTGTCTTATGCCTAGATAAATCTTAAGTCAGATATAAATTATAAATAATTTCTGGAATTAGGTAGGTATTATTATTATTAATCCAGTTGATTAGTTGTCAATTGTTTAAATTTATTTTAAAAGCTTTGTTTTAGTAAATACCTAGACTAATTACATGTCTAAAATTCCAAGAAGTCAAGTAAAAAGATAAAATTATTTGAAAATATAATCCAATTTTTGAGATGAGTAAGTAAGTAAAAAGGAAAATTTTTGGGTCACAGAATAAAGGTAGGTAGGTACTGACTGACTCAATAAAAATACTGGAGCTTTAATTAACTGATTTGTGAGGCATCCTGTATAAATTGTCCAACTCCAGAGTGATGTGATATGTATATGTAATATATTATACCTCCCACATAGGTTTTATTATTTTCTCCTAATAAAAACTAAACAATTGTTAATACTAATATTTGGGCTGTGCATTCGTATTTACAATTAATTAGATGTTACAGTAAAAAATTTTAATTAAATTTGTATGTATAGTATACTATGTACCTACCTCTAGGTACAAAGTAACATTGTAATTATTTTATAAACGTTTCTTGTATAGGTACATTAACTATTCAACTTAAAATTATTAGGTACCTACATAAAAATTTTAAGTTTTCAATCTTGAGATCAATGAAATTGAGATAAAACATTCCAAAACTTTCCCAGGTAGAAGACACGCATTTCTGTTAGAAAAATTGTCGCACATCTAATTAAAAACAACTGAATGGACGTACATAAAACATAAATAACAGATAACGTTATAAACAAAATACAACATTTAATTCACACAGCAGTGCACTAAAACGGTAAAGTAATTAAATATGATTTAATTAAGTTTAAAATGATTGTGTGCCCATTATAGCTAGATGTCTTGAAATTTTTATGCAAATGTTATTTTGAATTTAAATTTTATTTGGTAAACCAATTTTGGTCAGCCAAGGTTGAAAACGCAAGTTATTGTCCCCTCGCAACGAAATAACTTTTAATTAATCTTAATAACAACAAGCACAATTCCACATCCTAATTTACTCAAAACACAAATTATTCACCACCTTTTTTACAATCATGTGGTAAATATTTAAAAATAAATGTAGGTTGCACTTTACAAAACACGTACTCACCTCGTAATTTAATTTAAAGCAGGTCTTCTGCCAAACTCTTTTTTGTTTACATCACTGGTTATTGTTTGCACAGATCACTACACATTTTTATGTAAAACTAACCGAAAATTTACGTTTTTTAAACTTTCTCCGACACTTCTATCTGTTAATAAGCAATATCAAAATGAAACATGGCCGACTGATTTGTGCGCACGCGCCAACTACTTTCTACATATACCTTGTTTTGTGTAAAACGAAATTAGAAAAGTAATAAATAAATAAAAAATGCAATTTTATTAAAGTTATTTTAACAAATTTATTTTGAATGAATTTTAACGATATGAAGGTGTATTTTATATCAATAGACAATTGCTGTTTTTAAATAATAAAAAGCAAACGCCATCTGTAACTATTTTTATTATTAAATTATAATATTTATGTTATATATATTTAATTCTATCAACATTTATATTTATAACTGAACCAAATTTAAACAACATTTTTAAACTAAAATTGACGTTTTTGTAATGCAAATTTTATTGTGAATTACCTCCCATCGCAAAATAATAAAATCTTGTTTATCCATAAAGTAAACTACGATATATTTCTCCCCATGTAGGTATGTTGTTTATAAAAAATAACTTACCTTTTAAAATAAAACGTTTCAAACCGGTTTTTTGCAATTGCGTAGGTTACATTTGTTAAATTTAGCACAATAGCGGAAAATCAAAATTAAAAGCGGTAACGCGCGCTAATTTTTTTATTACGTATTATTCTATGGTGTGGTAATTTGTGTTTTACACGTAGGTATACTGAGGATATTCTTGAAGTTTGGTTTGGGTGTTCAAAAATAAATAAACTATGCGGGAGATAAAATAAATAAACATGTGGGAACATATGAGATTTTATAAATTTGAGTTAAATTAAAATTTGCTTTTTTATTAGGTACTAAAAATATTCTTAAGATTTTAATCATATATAAGCTTACGAATCTTCAGATTAAAATTTTATAAAATATTTTTTATGCGTCATTTTATTGTACAAATGAGTCATTAAGGAGTAATATTTCCGTTTTTTTGTTGTTTATTTGTCATGTTTTTCCGAAAGTTAGAATACGCCAAATGACCACATAAAATAAGATAAAAAATTAAACATGCTAAAATATTTATTTAGAAACAAAATACATTAAGTAAATATTGCTGGTTTAAAACAAAAAAATCACATTTGTATTGTATTGTTTTAAAAATGTCAGGTACAAATCCAGCAAAAACGTTTTTTGTGATTTTCGGGGTTATTTTGAATTTTAAACAAAAATTGGATGTAAGAAAAATTAAAGCCCTTAAAATTCTCTACAAAAAAGGTTACCACGTTATTTGTGTCAGATGCCATTTTTTGGGCTGCCGCGCTACAAAATTTTCTAAATAAAATAAATTAAACAAAATACATTAAGTAAATATTGCTGGTTTAAAACAAAAAAAAATCACATTTGTATTGTAGGTACCTACTTGTTTTAAAAATGTCAGGTACAAATCCAGGAAAAATGTTTTTTGTGATTTTCGGGGTTATCTTCAATTTTAAACAAAAATTGGATGTAAGCCAAATTAAAGCCCTTAAAATTCTCTACAAAAAAGGTTACCAAGTTATTTGTGTCAGATGCCATTTTTTGGGCTGCCGCGCCACAAAATTTTCTAAATAAAATGAATTAATAACAAATACAAATCTGACAAAAATATGTATGAAACTTTTTTTGTAAGCAAAAAATACATTATTTTCAGAAATAGTACGAAATTAGCTTGACACTGACAGAAAATTTTAAACTAAATCATCTTAACTTGTATGGTAACTTTTTATCTCAAAACGTTAAAAAAAAGTTTTCCATGCTTTACCACCAAAAAATGTACTTTCCCAATCTTTTACAAATTTTAATAAATCATTAGTTATTATCTAACTTTAAAAAAATATATTCGTATAAATTTTTAAAATTAAAAATTGAAAAATAGATTTTTGTAGCCCTTTTTTCATTCTTACCAATGAAGGAAGTTATATTTTTTATTAAAAAAAATCTTAAAAGTTTACAATTAAAAAAAATCAAATTAAACTCATTAGAAAGTTTGATTCTTTGGATTTAAACCCATATAATTTTAATAGTGAAATGGAAATTGTTTTTCAAGAATTTTATTTGTTTTATGTTTATCTCATCAAACAGGTATATAATTTCCATTCCATTATTAAATTAATACTTGTAGGTTTTTAAAGGCAATGAATGAAGCTTTCTAATATGGTTAATTTTTTATGCTTTTATTGAAAAAATTAAAAAATAATTTAAAATAGCTAAATTAGTGGATTGGTACTATAATTTAGTAAAATTTGAAAAAGATGTTGAAAGAACAACATTTTTTCGGAAATTTTACCCCTATAAATAAATGGTCACTAAATATTAAAATAACAAAATAAAATTAATTTATTTAACAAAAAACACTCGTCGAAATTTTGTATAATTACCTGAAAATCAACAAAACATAATTTTGCTGGAAAAATAGGTTTTTGTACTGCTAGACTAGATACACTAATTGTTCTATTAAAAAATTGTAAATAATAATAAAAATTCATTTAATTGTTTTCCATTTTGGCGCGTATATTTTTCTCCAAAATCATCTCTTTTTTAATTCCCCCCTGGCCCCTATCTTCAACGTTATTTCTTTCAATGAAATCATTCAAAAAATCCGAAACTAATTCGGGGCTGTTAAGATGAAAATGATGCGTTCCATCGATGTAACGAAAATCGCAATCTCTGCTGGATTTTCTCAAAACTTCAAGAACTTCATAGAAGTTCTCTTTGGGTTCATAATAAGGGGAATTCGGGGCTTTAGCTGAAAGAAACGTTAAATTTATACTTGCTTTAATAAAATCATACCAAAAGATATGAGATTAGCAAAATACATACCTATGAAAATAGGAAACTTCATGGCCTCAGTTGACTCTAATATCTCATGTTGCGGAAAATTCATCAAACCGCCAGACTTTAACCTCACATCCCTGGTGAAGTAAAACTTCCCTGGAGACTTTTTTGAAGGTGCTATAACTCTCTCATACAGATTATGAGCGTGCTCCTTCATTACGGAATTCATATTTGGCGCGCAAATTTTCGCCGTTAATTCTTCCAGGGTGTATGATGGGGGTTCCGCAGGGTCCATTTCGTACTGCGAGTACTTCAGGAAAGCGTCTATCGCTTTCGATATTCTTACGTTGTTATTTTTGTTGACCATGGGTTTTGATGCGTCTAAACAGATGGCGAAGTCCACGTCGTTTGGGTATAGCATGCCATATGTGTATGTTATTATTCCACCTAAAATATTGAATTTTAATAGTTTCCGATTTTTAACCTCAATTAATTATTTTTACAATGTTTTAAAAGTCTAAAACCTATCCTCCGTGACTGTTACTCTTTCTAGGTTATGTTTTCAAATATCTGAGGTGGTAAAAGCATACTAAAAATATCAGTTCACTAAGTAAATTAAACACATCCAAAGCAATCGAATCAAATATAAAATATTATTAAAAATTTAAAGAAATAATTTTTAAAACCATTTACGTAGGTGTTACAAAATTTATTCTATCCTCCGTGAATCTGTTTTTGCTTTAAATTTTATGCAACGGGTGGCGCTTTAATCATTTTAAATAAGCAAAAACCTCTGTTTACGACATTATAGATGCATGTGATTTCTGAAGGTCAGTTAGAATTAATATGCAGATGAGAGTGTTGCTGTTTTATAATTCAAAAGTTTAAGTTCATTAATTTGCTATTTAAAAACCTATCCACCGTGAAGTGTAATATCTCAGTAAGTAGATTTTTTTATAAATATTTTATGTACCTATGTACAATTGTATTTTTTTTTAAATATTAAGGTGTCAAAAGATACAAAAACTTATTTCAAATATACAAAGGGATGTTTAAAAAAAACATGAGAAATCCTAACCTCCGTGAAGCTCTCATATTCAAAATGAATAATTTCTTAAAATTCTTGCATTAGTGCAGAACCACTTATGTTATGTTATTACTAGACCTGGTGGCTTCCCAAAAACCCCTTCTAGACTAACAGTGAAACAACCAAAAATAAAAAATAATCATTTTCACTTGGGGGACATCTCAATATATTCACCCTTATATAATATTCAGTATTTAATTTAATTTAAACTTGTCAAAATTCAAAACATAGCATGTTAAATTCTGAGAAGAATAGTTACTCAACATCTTCCAGAACATGGAGTCAACAAAATCTAAAAGAATGTTATTCTCTTGCACAAGCACACTATAGCATTAAGAAAATTTCTTATATTTAATATTATGTAAATATATTTTATTTAAGATCCTTAAGCAATATGTAATTTTGTGTCCTGCTGAGGGTGAGCAAAATATTTTATTATTAATTTATAAATTCCGGGAATTTAATTCCCTGATAGTTCATTTCTTAACTTTAACTCACAATATATCTACTCTTATAGTGCAATAAGTATCCTTCTATGTTTGGGTTTTTATACAGAAGATGCATAATTACAAGGCTTTTAAAAATTGAATAAAAAATCTGCGGTTCAAATAATTTAAAAAAAACTGAAAACCAAAAATCGTTATTTCTGGGAATTTTGAAAAGTTTTACATGTAAGTTTACAGGGTAAGTAAGGATACTTATCCTGTAAACTTTAATACCATCTATAGATTAATAGATTAATACATTAAAATTATTTAAGAAATAAATTAAATATTTATTTTTTTAAATTACAATACCTACATACCTAAAGAATGTCCCATAAAAGATGTTTTATCCCAATCAAAATATTGTGTCAAGTATCTTATTAAAATAACATAAAAAATACCATGGTAATAAACCCCGTGTGGTAATTTTGATGATAATCCATGACCGGGTAGATCAATGGTCAAAAACCCAACATCCTTTTTTAACAATGGGATCAATCGATTCCAACTTCCACAATTATCCTAGAAAGAAGTGTATGAATGATTAAATTTATATTTAAATGACACTCATTTATAAATAATTAGTAGGATATTATTTTCTTTTTTTTGTACCTTACAGAAAAAAAATCACAATACTGGAGGCCAAAAAATGAAATTCCTGGCTAGGAACATAAAAACTACTGTACATGATAAATAAGAGGTTTTATCTACTGATTATTTATAAATAGTGTTCTACAAAAACAAAACAATACCTGCCACCCATGTATACATAATATGGGTCTCTTATCGGTGGGTCCCCACCATTTGCCAGCTAAATGGCCCCATGGAACTGGTATTCTTATTTCCTGGCATTCTTTTATTCCAGTGGAATACTGTTGGTAGTTTATTAAAGGTTTTTTAAACCTTAGTAATTTTTTTAAAGACATAATTGCTGCCACACAAAATTTGGCTGCAAAATATCAAAAGTTAGGTTATATGACATAACCTGTTTATTCCCAGAGTGTGTTTGTTATGATTCATGTGACGTCACTAGATAATCATTTAAAATAATTTTCATATATTTGTGATAACGAGAACTATGAATTTAATCGGTTAAACTGGGCTCAGTAGATTTTTGTTTGGTTTTTCTTGGAAAATGTTAAATGCAAAATAATTTAATAAAATCACGAGACCGCGTAGCGGTCAAGGGGTTTTATTTTTAATTATTTTGCATGAAACTATTTTCCAAAAAGAAAAATCAAATAAAAAACTTACTGAGCATAGTTTGACAGATTAAATTTATAGGTTGAGTGATATAGGTGCGTCTAGATTATTTCTCGAATTAAAGGAAACTATAAAGGAAATATATTTGACAATTCATTAAATCTGACGTATGTGTCAAAGTTTATAAATATTTTTTTAAAGAAAATTCCATTACTTTAAGGTATGTAATAAGTAATAATTGATATTTCGTAAACTAGATAACTTATTTTTTATTGTTTTTTAAAAAATGTTTGTTAAAACTTGTAAATAACACCATAAAATCGTAAACAAAAATCCAATATGGAGGCTAAAATTTAATCGCTGTTAAATAGTTCTAGTGATTTAATCGCTTATTTAAACGAAATTTATTCGAAAATTCAAGGCTTTTGATTGGTTCATATTATAATGAGGGAAATAATCAAGGATAAATCGAATAGGTATAAAAAATAAAAAAAATATGGAAAAGTAAAAAATATATATTTTTTTATAAAAAGCTTAAAATTCTACTAAACACTTCTCGTACTCATTTATTAAAGCATCGACTGACGGGCGTTTATTTTTATCGTATTGCAAGCAACTTTTTATGGTTCTTATAATTTTTTGCGATACCCAGGGCGCGTCCGGATATTCAATTTGATGATTTGGATTGCCTATTGTATATAATTTTGTCCACATTTGAGAAATGTGCTGAAAAGGCGTCCTCCTGTACACCAACTGGTACAAAATACATCCCAAAGACCAAACGTCACTTTTGTAATTAATCTGCAAAAAAGCGAGACGTCAAATTTTGTCAAGTCAACATTAAATACAAAAAAAAGCACAACTAAAGGGTAAAAGAATGTAAAGTTTATTTTTTTTTTATCTGGACTGCGGCAACGTTGCAAATTTAGGGTTTTGGTTGGTAAATATAGTTGTCAAGTTGGTAAGCTAGTTATAACGCAGTGACTACGTGCCTGCAATTTAGTTTTTACGGGAACGCTAGTGACGTAATGGATGAAATTCGTCATACATTGACGTGCCGCCAGGGTTGCCAACTCTTGAGATGCACATTATAGTATTTTCTTACTACCTCGACTCAAAATACGTTGTTTCGTCCCCGATTCCACGGCAGAAAGTTTACGTTTCTTGCATTGGTCAAGCTATACGCGCACACTCTAATAGCGGGAGTAAAAATTTTTTAGTCGTGTGCTTAACATTCAAATTTCGTACTGCCAACATGAGAAACACAAAAATATGACAGTTTTAAACCATAATTTTGCAATTATAACAACAAATAAACAATTTATGTTTTTACTTTTTTACTTGTTATGTTGTTTTAAGTGTTTAATGGTACTTTTATTTGTTATAAAGTAGTAATTTGTTAATTAAAATACAACCTTTTATTTTTACTGTATTGGCACCGCTGAATTCACGGCCTACTGTTATTTATTTATCAAGCTCTTCAAATGGAGATAGGTACATAAATACACATTTAATTTTTTCCCGTATTTTCGGCCGGGTTGTATTTTCGGCCGAGGTAGTAAGAAAAATAGTATACACTACACGGGCAGAAAGTGTGAGAGCCCTGAACTGCGCGCCATGATGCGCCTCGGGCATCATGGCGCGCAGTGCAGGAATCTCACACTTTCTGCCCTTGTAGTGTAATATACTATTTCTCAATTTAATAGAAGTTAGAATTTTAATAAAGACAGCTTTTTTTATATTATATAATATATATTATCTATTTTCAAAAAACGTTTGTTGTGACAATAACTCCAATTTCAAAGGTAAATACCTTTATTATACAGGCTATATATAAAAGTTGTTAAACTACTCAAAATAGCGTAGAATATAAATATTCTCTTATTGGCGACACTGGTGTGCAATGTTGCCATCCCGTAAAAGATGAACAATACGAAAACCGTTTTGTTTATAGATTTCCGTACGGGAATCTATAAACAGCACTACGGTTTTCGTAAATTTCTTTAAACTTGTTTAGTCCACTTTTATTTATAAAATCACCTTTGATTTTAACTTTTAGAAAATTTAAATAGTTTTTTGTAAGGGGTCGTAGGTCAAAATTTTGTTTAGATTTTTGTATTTTTTAGTTTAATATCTATAATTTTTGTGTTAAATATTTTCAACAAAAATATCAACCGATAAGGATAAAACAGTTTCTTATTTTAGATTTTATTTTCAAAACGTCTTTAGAAAATAACACAATTTTTAAACCCTAATTACTCAAAATGGTGCGTAATTTTTGAAAACTAGAATCGAAATTACATTATTTGATTATTAATAAAATAATAAATAAATATATAATTAAGAAATTCGTCACGCTTAACGTAATATGTTTATCGCGCAGGTCTGACTCACCCTCTTTTTTGGTTGTTTTTGTTAATAATTATAATCCCTACAACGTAATCAAGCGTTCAGTTGGAATTTGGCTTTTATGGGATGAACATGCTCATTTATTACTTTTATCTACATCAACAAATTGCTAGGTATTATTAGAATTCTAACGCATCTATTAGGTCAAATAATACTACGAATATTTTTAATATTTAAAAAAATAAAAAACATAAAAGTTGCAGTCCTTAAATGGTCTAATTGTATTTTTTTTCTAGGACCAACATGTTAAAGCCATGGCTATTAAGCCAATGGATATTAAGAAATAAGACAACCATATATATAAGGATAATGGGATTTAACCAGAACTTATCAATAAATTTGGCAAGTACCAATTTATTATTTTTAAATTTTTTGACGAACATTGAAATAAAATTAAACTTATATAAGTTACTATATAGTATTATTACCATGTTACTATTAGTTTAATTTTATTTCAATGTTTTTTCATGGATAACTTAACAGAATAAAATTTTGTAGTTATTATTGTGCATTTTTCTACTTAAAATTTTTCAATATACATAATTTAGTATTAGATCGTTTGAGGGGTGGTAAATCCAGTGCCGTGCTTAGATTTTGTTTAAAAAAATAGCTAATATGATTTTTTTTAAATGTACTGTCAAAAACTGACATAGTAGGCCTTGTATTTTGTCCAAATACAGTTTATCAAGATCTATACTTTAAAACAAATCCGGTTAAAATCGCACAATAAATAAAGATTTTACAGGGGTGAGTCGCAAACAAATGGGTCACTCTGTATCTATAATTTTTGTGTTTAATACTTTCAACAAAAATATCAACCATGGTTGCAATAAGTATAAAAAGTATACGTATAAAAATGATTCTTATTTAAGTATTTATTTTCAAAACGTCTTTAGAAAATAACACAAATTAAATTAAATTTTTAAACCCTAATAACTCAAAATGGTGCGTAATTTTTGGGAAACTGTATAATCGAAATTAGATTATTTGAGTATTAATAAAATAATAAATAACAAATAATATATTATATCTATAATTAAAATTTGTCACCCTTAACGTAATATGTTTATCGCGCAAGTCTGACTCACCCTTTTTTTGTTTTTGCTGATAAAAATAATTATAATCCCTACAACGTAATCAACCATTTAGTTGTAATTTGGCTTTGATACGACAAACATGCTCATTTATTACTTTGATCTACATCTATAGATGTATTTGTATACAAATTGCTAGGTACCTACCTATATACGTATTATTAGAATTCTAACGCATCTATTATCTCAAATATTACTACGATTTTTTTGATATTTAAAAAAATAAAAACAAAAGTTGCAGCTCTTAAATCGTCTAATTGTATTTTTTTCTAGGATCAAGATGTTATAGCATTAACCCAAGGATAATAAGAAATAAGACAATCATATAAGGATAATACGATTTAACCAGAACTCATCAAGGAATTTGGCAAGTACCTACCAATTAATTATTTACCAATGGATAATAAGAAATAAGACAACCATATAAGGATAATACGATTTAACCAGAACTCATCAAGGAATTTGGCAAGTACCTACCAATTAATTATTTTTAATTTTTTAGTTTTTATTATCGAAATTTCTTTAAATATCTTTTCGTCGGGTCAAATATTGTTTAAGTTGGAGATGGAACTAATTCTTTTAGTTCGTTTTTGTTAGGGGTCGTAGGTCAAAATTTTGTGATTCTTTTTGTCAGGTCAAATCTTGTTTAAGTTGGTTAAGTTGGAAATGAAACTTATTCTTTACTTAAAGATTATTTCTTTTTTTTTTAAGGAGTCGTGCTTCAAAATTTATTTTAGATTTTTTTATCAGGTCAAATTGTGTTTATTGGGATATGGATGTGGAACTTATACTTTTTTAAAGATCAGTTCTTTTTTT